GCGAAATTTCAGGGTTCCTCGTGGGGACAGCCGCGGGAATAACTGGCAGCCGAGGAACAATATGCAACAACCGCATCAACAAACTATCGAGGGAGCCCCACAACCGCTTCAGCACATCTCTCAGATGGATCTTACTAAGCAGATCACTGACCAAGTGAGTGTTATTTTTGGAGCTCCTCTCAAATTTTTGTCTACCACAGCCATGAAAAACTCAGTACGAACCGCCACAAAGACTCCCCGTCGAGAACCTAGTCACAAAAGGTTCAAAGGAACAGAAGCCATAGTTTTCACTGATAGCGACGTAGTCCCGGATATCTGTCCACACAGTGATGCCATGGTTATCGAGGCGATAATCAGAAACGTACAAGTCATTCGAGTTTATGTTGACAACGGCAGTGCAGTGGACATCATCTACAGTGATTGTTTCAAAAAGATGAACATTCAAAACCCTAACATCCGTCCAGGTATAATGCCACAAATGGGCTTCTCAGAATGGTTACACTAACCATGGATTTTGCCTTAATAGATGCACCCTCGTCGTTCAATGTGATCCTAGGACGGCCCTGGATGTGCCAAGCCTAAGCAATTTGGTCTCCTTATCACCTAGTGATGAAATTTCCTACAGAATACAGAGTAGGGGTAGTGCAGGGCTCCCAGCGCAGTTCTCGAGAATGTTTGCTCACAGTTGTCAAAATTGGAAAAAGGGCCATAAAGTCTAACCCGAGCACTGCCATATCGGGATGCTACTCGGTCCAACAAGTCGAAGTTTGGTCACAACCGAAGGACCATGACGCTAACTGTCTGCCACCACTTAGCAGCAAAACACAGGAGCTCATTCTCAACGAGAAAGAACCCTCCAAGACCATCCAGATAGGTATGACACCTCAGGGAGCGTTGCTAGCCGAGGTAATGGCCTTGCTACGCGAGTTTCGTGATATATTTGCCTGGTCACCTACAGATATGACAGGAGTACCACGAGATATTATTGAGAACCAGTTGAATGTTGATCCCAATGTTAAACCCGTACAATAGAAGAAGAGAAAATTTGCTCGAGACCCCAATGTTGTCATCAATGAAAAAACGTTGAAACTTGTTCGTGCTAATATCCTCCGAGAAGTTCTTTGGCCTACCTGGTTAGCTAAGCCTGTCCTGGTATGAAAGCCTGATAACTCTTGGCGCATGTGTGAAGACTACATGGATCTCAACAAACATTGCCCCAAAGACTGCTATCCCTTACCCATCATAGATCAGATGGTTGAAGGTATCACGGGGTACAGGACCCTCAGTTTCTTTGATGCCTATAAAGGTTAACACCATATTCTTATGGCACGAGAAGATGCAAAGAAGGCAGCCTATATCACCAAGATCGGAGTGTACTGTTATGACAAGATGCCTTTTGGCTTGAAGAACACCGGGGCCACCTATCAACGTCTCGTCAATTAAGTGTTCCATGACCAGATTTGCCGAAACATCGAGATATATGTGGACGATATGGTAATCTAGAGCAACAGAGACGAGCAAGTAGTCAAAGATGCCCGAAATCTTCTTGATTCTCCGCAAGATTAATATGACACTCAATCCGAAAAAATGTGCCTTCTGCATAGGGTCAGGAAAGTTCCTAGGATACCACGTTTCCAAGGATGGAATTAGTGTTGATCCGGCCAAAATCGAGGCAATAGTCCAAAACTAAGATGGCAAGGAAATTCCTGTTTACTTTGTTAGTAAAATGTTACAAGGTACAGAGACACGATACACGCCCATGGAAAGACTTATCTTGTGTTTGGTTAGGGCCGCTCGACGCTTACGACCATACTTCCAGGCACACCCGATAGGGTGTTAACAGAACAACCCATTCAGCAAGTCCTACTCAAGCCAGAAGCTTATGGTAGAATGATGAAATGGGTGGTTGAGTTAGGAGAGCACCATATCGAGTATAGGCCAAGAACGACAATCAAGGGCCAGGCTTTTGGAGACTTCCTTGTAGAAATGCCTCAAACTACTGACGTCCCAGAAGCCCCGAAGCCTAAGAGTCACCCTACTGCCCGATCAATGTCAATCCTCGAGCTTGGACATTATACGTCGACAGCTCCCGTTGTGACGAAGGAGGGGGAGCCGACATCATACTTGCAAAACCTTCAGCGGATCCAGAAATCGAGAACATGAAAGAGTACGACGCAGAATACACTTACGCATTGAGATTTGGATTCCCAATCACTAACAACGTGGCTGAGTATGAAGCATTAATAGCAGGGTTAAATATGGCTCTAAAGCTGGGGGTTCAAAATATCTAAGTTTTTAGCGACTATCAGGTAGTAGTAAATCAGATCCTAGGTAATTATACAGCAAACGATGAGCAGCTCAGGCAATACCTTGGGAAGGTCCTCAAATTAAAAGATCAGTTCGAAGAGTGCATCATCTCTCACGTCATACGATCGGAAAACAAAAGGGCAAACGCATTGAGCAAATTAGCTTCGTCAAACTTTTCACATCTCAGTCACAAGGTTTGGGTCAAGATCCTCCCCACGCCTAGTATTTAGAAAGCTCCCGTGATGGCTGTTACTGAAGATGGGGACACATGGATGACTCCGTTTATTCAATACCTAACAAATGAGACGTTGCCCTGTAACAAATCAGACGCACGAGCACTCCAGTTGAAAGCAGTTAAATACACTTTGAGAGATGCGGTCTTATATAAGCACGGGTACCTGCTACCCATGCTGAGGTATATTGGACCGAAACAGGCAGCTTACGTCCTCCAGGAGGTACACCAGGGATCATGTGGAGCCCATATGGGAGCAAGAGCACTCGCTAAAAATGTCCTGCGCTTAGGATACTTTTGTCCCACAATCTTTAAGGACGCATACCAGTTTGTACAAAAATGCGATAGATGTCAGCGCTTCTCCCCCATTACTCGACAATCATAGTACGAGATGGTCACCATTCAAAGTCAATGGTCATTCTATGAATGGGGCACTAACATTATCGGCCCTTTTCATCCAAAAGGGGCAGGAGGAGTAAGATGGGTAATCGTAGTCGTAGACTACTTTACTAAATGGGTAGAAGCTAAACCGTTAGCCTCAATATCAGAAAGGAAGGTGTTGGACTTTTTCTGGCAAAATATTGTCTATTGTTTCGGAGTTCCGAGGATCATTGTCTTCGACAATGGGACCCAATTCGAGAGCAATCATTTCTCAAGCGTAGCTCACCCTCAGGCTAATGGTCAAGCAGAGTCAATCAACAGAACCATTTTACATGGGATTAAGACCAGACTACATGATGCTAAAGGTGCTTGGGCTGAGGAACTTCCTCACGTCCTGTGGTCATACCACACCACCGCCCACTCATCGACAGATGAAACTCCCTACAGGTTGGTCTATGGCGTGGACGCGGTTCTCCTAGTCAAAATACGCCTCGCAAGTCCTCGTACAATAAACTTCATCGAGAGCACCAATGATGACGACATCAAGCTAAATCTTAACCTCCTTGAAGAGCAACGAGATGCCATCAGGATCAGAGAGGTGAAGTACAAAGAGATTCTCCGTAAACACTACAACAAGCGGGTCAAGGCAACAGATTTCACGGTGGGGACCTTGTGTTTAGAGAAAACGAAGCCAGTTGAGCAGAGGTTCCCGGAAAACTCACGGCGAATTGGGAAGGACCTTACAAGGTCATTTAGGCCTCTCTAGCAAAACCATCCTCCCTCGATGGTGGAGCATTTAGAACCTTTGCAGGTTCTACGTTTAAATCTTTTCTCTGCTACCTGCTAGTTTAGGTTATTTGCTTTATTTGCCTTACGTACTCTACTGTTTTTACAGTCTCGTATGTAATGCTAACCCGGGTCCTCGGGTAATTATTCAATAAAAGTCATTACATATGCTCTCATATTGTAGACATATAATTAATAATAGTATTCAACATCTGGACGAAAGTCGCGGAAATTCCTCGTATCCACCGTAGATCGCGGTAATGAATCGAGAAAATCGTATCCAGTTTCCTCAAAAAAGCAGTGTACTTAACATCTGGCTCAGAAGCGCTATACAAATAGAAAACTCGAGGTTTATAAAGCAATATGTTTGCTACTTTCTCATATTGTGTAAAATCCTGGGAAAGCATACATGTTTTCCTATGATATTACGAGAATTTCTATGCTGGGGTTGTCAGGAGATGGATGGATAATGCCTTTAAATCCATGCAGGCTAAGAAGATTCACGCACTGATTGAGCTTATCCTTTAGAGCTATAATCTCTTCGTCCTGGGAGTAAACCCTTAAAAGGAGTTCCTCTCGAGTGCTCCTGGTCCTTGGATCTGTCAGGTCTTCGGTTCTCGGAGGGTGGGAAGTCAACGCCATGATCCAGCAGTAAGTTGTGAAGTTCACTTATGAATTTTTCATCAGGAGGTCAGCTTTGCAAGTCCTTTCCTTTAGCATGTCCATCGCTGAAATAAATCAACGCGTCCTTATTGAAATCATTTGCTGCACTCGAGCAAGGACCTGATACTTCTCGAGAAACCACGGCGACACGATAATCTGTTTGCCCTGTTTCAACCTGGCATTCTATTTTTCCAGAGCAACCAGCTCATCATGAATGTCCGTCTCGAAAGTTAGAGAATCACTGAAATCTTTGTCATTCTGATAATTGCGTCATTGCATTTCCACGCAAAGTTCTTTTATTTCCTTGATAAGATGCTGGTTGACTTTAACATTGCGTGCCCGTATAGCATAGAGAAAGTCCGCTTCTAATTTCACTACTATCTCGATACTATGGACATCCACGTGACTTCTCATAATCTCGCTAATCATCCAGTATAGAGGACACTCCCTCGATTGTTCCTCCGACAAAATCATGAGATGATCCGATGGACCGGCAAATTATCCTGTTTTCAGAAAAAATCCAAAGGCCAAAAATTAGATTTGGAGAGGCAGACAACATACTATTCATTTAAGGGGCAGATAAAACTTGAATTGTCTACAAAATCCCTAGCAACTATTACAGAGAGACGAGTTACAGCATCTTGCCCAGTAGAACCATTCTTGGGATGACTCGGAGATACCTCTCCAGCGTTCTTCTGCCCTCTAGAGTTGCCAGTGTCGGACACGTCTTCTCCCAAGGCCTCATCATCTTCTTCCTCGAGCTCGATGCCGTATACTCATCTGGCACCTCAGGAATCAGCTTCTCATCGCTTGGACTCTTAGACAAGACTATGGCGGGATCACCGGGGAACACGGCCATATCTTCAGGAGAACCCATCTTGACGAGGGCATCGCACAGAACTTCCCATAAAGGCAACTGCTCACTACTGAGCTTCGTGAGGACCTTTACCAAAGCATCATACATGGTTTTCCTAGGGCTCTTTTCCAGGAATTGTTTGAACCATTTGGCCTTGATTGGTCTGTCTCTGCTAAGCCTCTTAAGACCTGCAACAGCTACTCTATGAGACCCGTACTCTGTGGCTGCCAGATTAACCTCCTCAATGGCCACTGCCATGCCACCTGAAGATAACATCCTGAACCAAAATGCAGTACACCATTTATGAAGGTCCTCCCTCGAGATATGCAGATCAGCAAAAGCTCTCAGTTTCTCGTCCAACTCATTATATCTCGCCTGCACCGAGGCTAACTCCTGCTCCTTGGCTTGCATCTATTGGTTATTCGCCTCGAGAGTGGCCTTCTCAACAAGCGCTTGGTCCCTATCGATCCGAGCCTGGACCAACTCCTCCTTTAGGTTCCTCAACTGCATCAGGTATGCCATCGAGGCCGCCCTCATTTGTAAAATTTAGCAAGATGAGACAAAATCCCTCTCCAGAAATGTTTACGCATGTATTCTCAAAGGGCTATAAAATGCTTACCAGCCTCACACTATCGGTCGTTGTTAGCTATGCAGCAAACTCTTTTAACAAGGAACATTCGATGGTCGGGGGATCGCCAAAAGTGTGAACTGCCACCGTTGCGTCCTCCTTAAGCGGGCCCTTCCCTTTGTCCGCAATAGGTACCCTAGTGCTTGGGTTTGCTTCTATTTGGGGCGTGGGGGGTGCTGGATTTCGCTACTTCAGGAGGCATGGTATTCTCTCCTTGCGCCGTCGACTTCGAGGAGAGCACATCTGCTTTCTTTTTCTTCTCCTTCTCAGAGATCTTCACGAGTCTTTTCCGTTTCTTCTTGGTTCCAGCGGCTATTGCGGTCGACTCTTCTTCATCTGAATTCACAATAGGAAAGAGATCCTCATCACCATACAGTTGAGACCAGCATTGCCCGATGTTATGACCTAATAACAACAGAAACAATGAAAAGAGATTACTACCTTTGTCCTCCTCGATGGAACGATTAGTATCTTTTTTCTTCTCGACGGGAATCGGGGGAATGTAAGACTGCACATTACTCCACTTAATCAATTTTGGATATGTCTGAATTTTCTGCAAGTCATCCTCGAGCTCCTCGATGCACTCCTCATCTTTCTTGTTCCATTCATCCTTTATTACACCAAGACCTTCTGTTTCTCGATGGTCCCACGCCTTGACCATTTTCTTAATTCCTGATCTTGGGCATTTTTTCACAATGTACCAATCTTGGAATGGTGTTGAGCGAACCACCACTTGGAATAAATACCTCCACAGAATCAATTGGGGCTTTACTTTCACTCATTCACATATTCTCACAAATGTGAGAACAAACATTATAAGGTTGGGTGTGAAACGAGCAAGAGGTGTTTTGTAATGTTGAACAATCTCCTCGAACAGAGGGAAGAGGGCTAACCTTAGCCCTAAATACATAAAGCGGTCATATACAACAATTCTTCCCTCAGGAGGAGAATAGGCCCTCTCGTTACCTACAGGGGCTCTCATATCTAAATCTACAGGAAGGTTGTATCTCGTTTTGACTGCCTGAATTCTATCATCAGAATTAATGGTAGAGGCAAAATCTTGGACAGTTTTCATATCTGGATTCCTAGTAGCCATATCTACCAAAGTATACACTCCAAACACGTTACAACAGAAGAAAAGATGGAATTGAAACTAAGAGCAGTAGATTGAAAAACTTACTATTGGAATAAGTATCCACTCCCTTTTTGAATTGTATCTGCCCAGGTTCACAGTTGGCTCTGGCGACGGCGACTCCCGGAACAAGGACAAGTGGTCGCGCAGGGCAGTGAGAAAAGGTCTTTATCGATGTGTATGGGGTAGTTTTCTCCTTCTTGGCAGGGGCTTTGTAACAAAGGCGAAGATTTTGTAGTTGGGTTTTTAAACCTTGGGAGTAAAGGGCGAATGTCAAAACTAATTTCATTAAAGGGGAGAACCGGTCCTCCATGTTCCTGCCGTTACAGCACAATTTCAGGCAGTTATGATGATGTTGGCCGTCCTTTGGGAAACGTGCCCACTAAATACACGTGGGTTGATGCTTCAGGCGAGATTTTGAATCGGGTCACCTTCCCGGATCGAATCCTAATCCGCGGATTGCCCCATCATCCCCGCTCGATATGACGTGGGCTGCAATTTGTTTGGGCCGGATCCAGGTATTATTCATTTTGTGTCAAGCATTGTTTATTTCATACAACTTATACTTGAGAGGGGCACTTGACGAGTCCATACCCACCGAGAGCTATTGGACCGATCCATCCGCTTGTTATGGTTCAACCGACCTTACAGAGGCGGTTCTGGAACATAAGACCTAATAGGATTCGGCCTTCTTGAAGGTAATTTCATGCCTATAAATAGGACTGGTCATATTACAATACGGGTACGCAGTTCTAGCAAACATTACCACTCACATACATTCTTTAAGCCTTGTCCTGACTTAAGCATCCGAGTGTGTACCCTCGCGAGACCCTCGAGGCTCTCTTTTGCGGGAAACCCTAGTTGGAGTTCCACTATTGAACCGGTGGCGGCAAACCAAGCTTCGTCAGAAGGTCGATAAATGGTGTTGACAGTAGATGCCGTTTGAGAAACACAAAAAAAAAAAAAAACAAATTTGACAGTGGGGCTTATACACACTCACTCTTAATAATAAGGGAGAAAGATATGCAAAAAGCAGTTGCTCCGAAAGTTTGGAAACCTTTTCAGATTCTGTCAGTTGGAGTTACTATTTATATGTTTTCTAGAATAAAGTTTCTGACGAATAATTGGTGTTCTCAATAACGATATGGTTTATCCTGTTTTAACAAGCATATATAACAGATTATGACTCATTAATAGATCGATAATAGATAATAGATAATAGTTAGATGTTAACTGCATTGCTTTATGACTCATTTCTCCCAAAAACTAAAATCATACAAGTAAGACTTGTCCTGTTTTGAATTGTTAGCATTGACTATAGTCCATATTGTCCATATTACCCATGGGAATGAGAAAATCCAATGAATTTGTTTACTAGGGCAAAAACTTTGAGTGTCAGATGTACTAACGCAAGTGCTTGTCAGAAGACATCCTCCTCAAGGCATCTGTAAGTAAAACAATTTCAATAAAACAAATTTGTGTTTAAGACTCCCTCCATTCTAAAATTATTGTCCAATTTGGATTCATATTTCTAATACAATTAAACTAAAAATAAAATTCAAAACTGGGAATAATTTTAGAACAAAGGGTACCTAAAAAGGGTTTACTCTTTCCAGCGTTAAACATTGTACTATATGAATTAAAAAAAAAGAATCAACTTTTTTTTGTGGAAAATAAAAACTACTATCTGTTTTTCAATAAAAATTAAACTTCAAAATTAAATTAGGCTCAACAATTTTTTTTTCTCATGTAGATAAAAAAAATTAATTTGGTTTTCTCAATAATAGTTTCTCAACCATTGAAAAAGATCTCCCCCTCCAAAAATAAGGGAAAAAAAACTTTTATGGTACTTCTCTAAATTATTAAGAACCTAAAAAGGCACGCTTCTTAGTTCTTAGCCAACAGCGGTTACCTAGATTTGGGTGATTTCTTGGACAATTATGTGAAGCATTTTGGGTAGAAAATAAACTCTACTTAATTTCACGGTTGACTTTTGACATGTGTAAAATTAAAGTAAACCACTCTTTGAATTTATTTCATTTTTCCACAAAGAAATCTCAAACTGCTCACTAGTGTCACAATTCTCCTGCAATCCAAATTATTGTAATTTATTGGTCAATTCCTTTTCAACCTTTCTAGATTGGTCGATCGTCACATTCAATTAATCAGTAAAATATTTATGCATGTTTTTGTAATAATTTAATTAAGTGATTTATTTTCAATGCAAGGGCAGAAAATTTCATTGCTACAAAAAAACTAATAAACAGCTGATATTCTGAAAAAAAAATATTATAATTAACATTAATTATGAAATTAATTTGCCAGGTAACTAATTACAGACCAAAATTTGAAAAAGAAGAATTGCTTCAGATTAATGGCTATTATCAAGCTCAGTGAGATTCCTAGATAAGATTAATTACTATAGCATATTCAGTTTTTTATTTTTTTTTTTATTTTTTAATTGTACTCAACGCATATAAAAATTCTTTTGTTAATATTCTCATTTGCTTCCCCCATTTCCTCCAACTCTAACGTTAATTTCAAGAAAACTCCCACCCTTGAAGCCAACATAAGAACCAAAGATCAAGACCCATTCCTTGAGTTTTATCGGCGCCAGATCGAGTTTACGAGCAGCCAATTCATTGGAAGCGTGATTTTCAGTTGCTGACAAAGTTTTATTTCCAGAAGACAAACTAATTGCTTTCTTCTGTTTTGAGGTAAACCAGATTTAGTTATTTCCTACCATCATTTCATGCTCAGATTTCTTCAAATACAGATTATTTTAGCTAAAATTTCATAGTTTTGTGCTATCCTTGATTGTAAATAGAGAACCAAGCCATAATAACAACGGGAAAATCATATATGGATACATCATGGTAATATGTTTGCAGCGAAAGAGCTATCAGTTAGGGTTTACAGGGGAGATCGTGGTGGATGGAAGCGAGGATATTCAACAGTTGAAATTCATAGTAGTAATGATTTAAATTACTTAAATTAGGTAGATTCAGAATGAATGATGAAAATTTTTGTGCATGACCTGATTCATTACCTTTATATACGTAGATGCTCATAAATTTATTGAGCGAGACCTTGGATAGATTTCTCAAAGACTATTTATACATCTAGGTTGTATCTAATGCATTTTCAGAAAGTCAGAAGATTTCGTAGTGAAAATAGGAACATTGTATTTTTTAGCGAAAGTTTCCTTCAACACTAGATCGCAATAGATTTTACAATCAGTCATCCTTAATTGCTTTTTTTTTTAATAATACAAAAAGTTAAAGTGCATGTGATGAAGCATAGGAGATCAATTAATTTCTTTTTCCCAATGATTAATTTGAATTGAAGTTGAAATTCTAAATTAGCGTGTTTATAGAGAATGAAAAATAGTTTCAGGTTCCCAAGTTTTTGTAGTACTTAATGTATATTATAGGCGATTAATTAATACAGTCGTGTAGTAACGAGCAAACAATTCCATGTATTTTAACATTTTGATGTATACATGTATGACTTTCCCGTTGTTATTATGGATTGGTTCTCTATTTCCCCCATGTTATTATAGCTTGGTACCCTAATTTAACATTTTATTCTATTTTCCCCTTTTTCGTACTCTATTTCTCGGTGTTGTTTCGGCTTGAGTTTAAGGTTAAATTCTAGGGGATTGCTCATGTCTAGCACATATCATATGCCATCCTACATAATTAGGGTAAATCTTCTAAGAACTCCTAATCTAGTCGTAGAGCTCTTAGTGCATTTCTAAGAGTTCCAGATTGAAATGGCTATACGTGTGTGATTAAAATTATTCATTCAATAGTCCTGAGACCAACAAGGCATGTCTATCTCTTTTTTTGTTTTTTATGTCATTAATTTCTTCTTGGATGTTGTTCTCATTTTTCAGATTCATCGAGGGAAATGGCTCCAAGAAAAGCCCTAAAGCGACCAAATATGGAGGCAAGCAAGGCAGAGAAGAAGCATGTTGAATTTTTTAAAATATTCAATCCTGAGACCAGTAGTGATAAAATTGTAAGCGTTTCTTTCATCTTATCTCTTCTGATGATTTTCTTTATCATTACAAAAAGAAAACACTTTTCTTAGAATTCACATATCTAGTTTATTCTATCATTTATGAATTATCATCACAAAAGTAAATGTACTTAAAGGATAGAATAAGTAAGTACATACGTTTACATAAGCTCTAAAAGTTTACATATTTTGGGTAACTCTTAAACACTACCATTATTTTGGTTTCTTATTAATAAAATTCAGGATGCTTCCTATGTACCATATGTCCTAGTTGGCCCTTTGTTAAATGAAAAGCTTGATTGGAAATCAATTATGTCAACTGGAAAACATGCTATGAATCAATCAAAAGTGTATTTTTTTTTCTATTGAAAAACAGTTCTCATTAGTTGCTTGGGAATCATCTATTATGATAAGAGGTGTATTTTTCAATTGGGTTATAGAGTCCAGATACATTTCAAAGGCATGCTTAGATTTTGCATGTTGAGCTAAAGAACAACAAAATACGTTGAATCTCTCTCTCTCTCTCTCTCTCTCTCTCTCTCTCTCACACACACACACACACACACACACTCTCTGTCTCTTTTGGTTAACCATACACTGAATCTTTAATTAACCCAACTACACTTGAAACTGATTATGTCTTCAAAATTAGCCTTGGCAATAGAGAATATCAAGATCATATCAGAGAGGTCATTTTCTTGTGATTATAGGCTGTGGATAGTAGATGATGAGTTACCAACTAGAGAGATTTATACCTTTGGACAGAGCAAAGAAATAACTTCCTGTGCTGCAAACTCTCTATCACCTTAGGATTGAGATTCCCAATAGAAACTGAATATAGAAATTTGTCATTATTTTTTGGTAGTACTGTTAATTTGTTTCGCTTTTGCTATTATTTCTTAGTAGTATTTGATTCATGGATGATGATTCATGCTAGTGCTGTTATATGGCACTTTATTTTTATTCATGTTGTGATAGATTTATGTAAATATTTTGAAAGAGTACAAGAGTAGCATAGGCAATGTCTTTTCTGAACTACAACTTCGCCAAGCAATTTTAATGATGATGGAAAATTCACCATTAATTATCCCACTATTTTGTTGTCTACCTGATATATAATTCATCTCGTGCAGATGCTTCCTGTGGCTTGGACAAACGAGATGGAAGGAAAGTTGCCAAACAAAGCATTTTTAAGGGATCGCTACGGAAACATATGGCAAGTGGAACTGAGTAATGATCAGGATAAAACTTACTTCCATCAGGGGTGGCCGACATTCATTAAACAAAATGACTTGGAAAAGGGAGACTTTATCATTTTTAAGTTTGATGGAATTTTTGTTTTTGATGTGAGACTTCTTGGATGCGATTCATGCGACAAAAGAGGAGTTGGAAGTCTTAAATATAAATTAGAGGAAGAGGATGAACAAGAAGCACCAGTAGATGATAACAAGGACGCCAGTAATGATGTTGATGGAAAAGATGAGGAAACTGATCCGGCTTTCAATGCCCACAATGGCTCAGAAAATGTCAGAGGTACTATTTCGTCATATTATTCAGTTTTTGCACTATTTTTCGTACAACAAGAACAACGATTATTTTGGAACATATGGAATTTTTTTTTTTTTTAATGTGATCATCACTTTGGATAATTCCATTTCTAGGTGGGAACGGAGCAAAAAAATCACATTATTCTTGGAAGAGGAACAGACTAGTCGATCCCTTTGGCTTTGAACTTTTCAAATACCAAAAAGTTCCGAGACCTTGGAATCCACATTTCGTTGCGGTAATAAATAGCCGGAGGAAATATAGATTGGTACGTCTGTGGATTTTGGACTTTAATCCTTTTACATTTATAATTCATCTCATATTAGAAACCCTTCTCTGGGTGTAAGGTTTAGTTTAATGTTATGACCTAAAGATCAATTAGTTCTTCCCAAATGAAATGGAAAAGCATATATAGGTATTAGATGTAAATATTCATTAAAAAGGAAAACCTGTAAGACATTTGTGTGAAAGCTGCTAGTTAATTAAATTGTACTTGTGTGATATAACCTAGTTATCCAAAATGTTTTGAACTTATACAAACTAATTCTTTTTTTTTTTTATTTTTTTACAGATTGTGCCACTTGACATTATTAAAGTTTACAGTCTTGAACTTCCAGCAGAAACCGTCTTACGTGACCCTCAAGGAAGGGAGTGGAAGACGAATCTTAGCAAGTGGACAAATGGTCTTCAATGTTACCGCAATGGATGGAAGGAACTTTGTCAAGGAAATCTTATTGAACCATACGAACCATTCATTTGTGAATTTGTGAAGTGTGAAGAAAGAGGTCTATACATACAAGTGCACATGATTCCGGATTATGCAAAGGAATAGGAAACAAAAATGAAGTCATTTATGCTTCAAGACTAATTATTGGTTTAGATAATTAGTCTTTGATTAATTTCCATGATATTGGTACTTAATTTGTGTCTGAATTGGAGCTAGCACTCTCTTTTGTGCTTGACTCGGTAACTTTTATTTTAATTTGCTTATGCATTTAAGTTACATTTTCTTTTATTTATTTCATGGCTGTACTATTACAACATTAACCATATAAATACACAATGGCCTTGTTAATAAGTTTTACAAGCCGTTCAATTTGTAGTCCTTTCTTGAATGTTAAGTAAGTAATTTGGAACGGTACAATAAAGATGTACATTCTATATTGCCCATCTCAAGAAACTGAATCCAATTTAGCCATTTCATAGTTGAAACCTGAGTGTCTTTTGAAATTGAAGTAGTTTATGTGATACTAAAGTGTTGTAAGAAATCCTTACAAAGATGATATAGTTGTGCGAATAGTTTGGGCATCGCATTGAGTTATAATCTTTTTTGGCAAAGAATTTCATTACCATATATAAGAGTTCATATAAAATTTCAGTATCTTTACTATGTTCAACTAACACAAAATGTGTAAAAAAAGAATTTGCAGTGTTTAAGGCTTACCTACTTATATAATAATGCAAATAAATAGAAGAGAAGCTAATCTATTACAGTACAAAACCCACATGATCTAAACACCTTACTACAGAATAAACTAATTAAGGACACTGGTTAACAACCATGGAAATTTCCTACCCTCATCGTTGCACCACTTTACAAAAAAGCTTATCTACAAAGACATTGATTAACGATCAGTTGTACCTTTAGCCAAAATTTTAAGGTGTTATTTGATGAATTTTGACGATGAATCGATAAGAACGAGTGAAGTTCTTTTTGTGTTAATCTTGGTGATTAACTTTTTGATGTGCATAAGGTTGAATTTTGTTTCTTGCAAAACTGCGCGACTACCTTTGTTGGAGATTTGGTGTTTCTCAACTTGGATACTGAGTTCGTGGTCCATTTGGAACAAGTTGATGCGTTCAAATCGGGAGGTGGGAATTTAATTGACACATTCTGATAGGGTTCATTCCAAAAATAATTCTTCCATCTTCTTGTCTATCATCTGTTGAATTTTCTATTCGATTCATCTTTGAATCGAAATATCCCAGAGTCATTGGTTGTCTTGGCGAGTTATAGGTGGAACAAGAGCAACTCTTGGTACCATAATTTGCAACAAGCTTCCTCAATTTATAGCGTCGCGCTCTGTTGAATCCCCAAAATTCATATTAACATTTTTTGAATTCTACAAGAATTCGTATCTTGATAAGTTGCAGATAACTTCTAAAGTCATGCCTAAACGATGGTAAATCAGCATCAATGTAAATCTGCATCAACAAATCCAGAAAGACGTGTTTTAGGTGAATTAAATGTTACATGGGAAAGCATACATGATCCTAACCGTTTCTAATAAGTCACTGCGACTCATTAAAGACAAAATTTTTATTTGTCTTAAACACATATTGGACTTCCAAGATGTTATGGATTCATTTGTTTTCCATATGCAATAAATTTGTCTGAGGCCAAATCAAAATTACAAAACATACTTTTTGAAAACAAAGATTAGCAAGTGAAGCGAATTCCAGGCAGCAGAGAATGAATGATGCATACCTTCTCAACATATGTTCTAACCCTGTTCTCTATGTCTTGCACTATACTTTCAGGTTGCCCCTCTGGAAAGAACATAAAGGACGTTCAGTACAAGGCACTCAAAAGTCAAAATTAAAAAGATTAGAGAACATATATATATATATAGATATATATACAGTAACTGACACACACTGGCAGACTTAGGGTGGGCCAACCTAAACCTTTATTATATATATTTAAATAATTATAATTTTTTTATGTGTGTGTTAAGCTTTATTTTGCTAGTTGGACTCAAATTGTGTTTTCTTGTTCATTTTCTCTTCATTTGGATTGGGCCTTGAGCCAAGAAAAAATGTTTCAAAGTTGTAGTTCCAGTTAAGTTTTGTCCAAAATAATTTTATTCTCAATTTTTATAGGAAGATTAATGCCATAATGATCTGAAAAATTAATTTATTCTATAAAATATATACAAGATCTAAGACGTTAAACTATCAAACCTTTTCTCATACATAACTTTCATAATAAAAAAATATTCCGTTATGCCCATAAAAAAGTATGGTGCTCTCATTCCGGCTGTATATGTTTAAATAACTATATTTAATTGTTAAAATGCAAATAGTTTTTGAACCTGCTGGTGTGTTAGTTATAACGAAAATGGGATTTATACTCATGAGCTAAGTCCGACACGATTAAAAATCTCAAATCATAAAAAAACTCTTTATAAACATTAGTTAAAATAATAATTCATTCTTCGATGATATAATTATAGTCGGCGGCCCCAACTACATTTTGTGTCTAGATCCGCTATTGTTGACTCACCCACAACAACTTTTGTCAGGTTAGGTTCGCGACTGCAAAGAACATTAGATACCATCAGTAAAATGTGCTGTAATTTCAGCAGGATTAAGTCTGATAACTAACATGCATCGTAAAGTCTAAATAACTAACAAGCACCCCCTTAGAAAATTAACAATCAATTGACTATATGAAAACCATTAGTAGAAAGTGACACTTTAGGATTAGAGTATCAGAAAAGGTACACCATTTTAAAGACATACCGATTCTAAAAAGCAGTGCCATGAACCGTTTTGCAATGAAGAAAATCAAATCATACAAAGAATCCATGAATCCAAATATTAATCACACGGTAAAGAAGTTTCTCACATACCATTAGGGGTGTAGATACTTAAGTGACTCGGCACATGAGAAATTGGCTTAGTCTTCCCAGTGATTCTATCATTTTCATTTGAGACTTCCTAGTGAATCGCGGCTACAAAAGAAATGGTAATCATATGCAGAGTCGCTACACAGGTCAATGGTTATAGTAGAACTTAGTAACAGAATAAATTTCCTAGTGTAGCACATAAGTTATCTGCAACTTATAAGCCATTCAACCTTTAACTCATGATCAACAAATATGACCCACAGTCACTCATCATCGCCAAACAGGAACGCAATTAAGGGTAATTCCATCGCCAAAAAGGTTTCAAAGAAAATCTTATAAGTGCTATCAAACAAATCCATTCAAAAATCAGGATATTAAGCAGCTAATTTGGGAATAAAACAATTAGGGGAATGAACATGAAAATGAAAATTATTTCATAAAATTGATTTCATCAGTGAACATTACTATTGATTGCAAACTAATAGCATATAATTAATGACTACTTATCAAATCATAAACGTCATAGACATTATCGATTATGTGATTAGTTAAAAGTAATATTACTATAATATTATTGTTATCATCAATCAGTTGTTCACTTGAAACGAATTATTGTTAATACTTAATGGTTGTGTTTCCTAGTAATGGATTCTATAGTTATTGACATTATTTAACACCATATACACTATATATATATATATGGATAACATGTATGCAATAGTAAAGGAAAGCTGGGATCATCCAATTGAGGTCTTTGGAACAAGAGCAAGTCTTGGTGGCATAATTTGCAGAAGCTTCTGCAATTTATAGCGTCGCGCTCTATTGAATCCCCAAAATTCATATCAACATTTTTGAATTCTACAAGAATTCATATCATTATAAGTTGCAGATAACTTCTAAAGCCATGCCTAAACGATGGTAAATCAGCATCAATGTAAATCCGCATCAATAAATCCAGAAAGACGTGTTTTAGGTGAATTAAATGTTACATGGGAAAGCATACATGATCCTAACCGTTTCTAATAAGTCACTGCGACTTATTAAAGACAAATTTTTTAGTTGTCTTAAACATGCATTGGACTTCCAAGATGTTATGGATTCATTTGTTTTCCATATGCAATAAATGTGTCTGAGGCCAAATGAAAAGTACAAAACAATTAGAACATAATTTTTGAAAACCAAGATTAGCACGTTAAGCAAATTCCAGGCAGCAGAGAATGAATGATGCATACCTTCTCAACAAATGTTCTAACCCTATTCTCTATGTCTTGCACTACACTTTTAGGTTTCCCCTCTGGAAAGAACATAAATGACTTTTAGTACAAGCCACACAAAAGTCAAAATAAAAAAGATTAGAGAACATATATATATATATATACACACACACATATATATATATAGTAACTGACATACACTGGTAGATTTAGGGTGGGCCACCCTAAACCTTTATTATATATATTTAAATAATCATAATTATTTTTATATGTTAGTATTAAGCTTTATTTTGCTAGTTGGACTCAAATTGTGTTTTCTAGTTCATTTTCTCTTAATTTGGATTGGACCTTGAGCCAAGAAAAAATGTTTCCAAGTTATAGTTCTCATTAAGTTTTGTCCTAAATAATTTTATTCTTAATTTTATAGGAAGATTAATGCCATAGTGATCAAAAAAATTAATTTATTCTATAAAATATATACAAGATCTAAAACCTTAAACTATCAAACTTTTTCTCATACATAACTTTCATAATAAAAAAATATTCCTTTATGCCCATAAAAAAGTATGGTGCTCTCATTTCGGATATATATGTTTAAATTACTATATTTAATTGTTAAAATACAAATAGTTTTTGAACCTGCTGGTGTGTTAGTTATAACGAAAATGAGATTTATACTCATGAGCTAAGTGCGACACGATTAAAAATCTCAAAACATAAAAAAAAACTCTTTATAAACATTAGTTAAAATAATAATTCATTCTATGATAATATAATTATAGTCGGCCCCAACTATAATATGCATCTAGATCTGGTATTGTTGACTCACCCACAACATCTTTTGTGAGGGTTAGGTTCACGACTGCAAAGAGCATTAGATACCATCAGTAAAATGTGCAGTAATTTCAGCAAGATTAAGTCTGATAACTAACATGCATCGTCAAGTCTAAATAACTAGTAAGCACCCGCTTAGAAAATTAACAATA